TGCTGTGCTGATCACCAAGATCAATTCCCGTAATAGTGGACCTATGGCATGTGTGCCAGAGGTGGAACACAGAGCCTTCTCTGTGGACACGTGTGCCATCGCCAACTACTCTTCTGGTTTCTGGCATGCATGGTTTCCAGCAGGATTCCTGGGTGCCAGAGCACAGAAAATGGCCTGAAAATGCCCTCCCCTCAAAATGACCAAAAAACAGGAAGTTTTTAGGGCCATTTTCAGACTGTTTGTGGCCTGAAAATACCCACCAAATGCCCTGAAAACGGCTCCCAAAATAGCCAAAAAACAGGACACAAGTCCCAGCCAGCTGGTCTTCAGATTTCTGGCGGTCTGGCACACACACATGCACAGGCATTCTGGTTTAGGCACTCTGTGTAGAAAAGGTTCGCCATCACTGTTCTATTATATCACTATAAATGGGATTAACTACTGGTGCTGCACATATTATTTTAATAGGGGACAAATTAAGGCATATGGTTAGTGGAGTCTTTCATTTCCCTTCCTACCAAATTTCAGCTGTTTTCACCTGGAAAAACAGCCACTAATTATTGCCATTAACAGGTTGGGCAAGTATAGGTAAGTGTGAAGCAGTGTGTTTAACCATCTGTCAAATTTCCTGACTAACACATCACAGATACATGTCCTTAAACTAACATTGGTTCCCACGGTGGTGGATTAAATACATACTCACAAACAGAATACTGGAGATAAAAGTGTCCTCTCATTTATGTTCCCCAGCAACCGGTAGAGAGGAGCATGTGTATTTAGCCAACTTTTTCATTATATTCTCCATTTCAGTTGCCAAGATCCATTTTCTGGCCAAGTAAAACCAAACAAACCTGTATAGGGGCCCAAAAATCCTCCTGCATTTTGTAGTTCCAAGCATACAGCAAAAGTCAGAGGTTTGGCTCCTCCTACAGAATGCCATTTATGGGAAACTGTTTATATTTTTGTAGTTTTACATCCCCCTCTCAAAACTTCCCCCACCCCCACCCCCACCCCCGGGTTTCCTATATAGTTGGATTGGTGTGAAATGCATCTGCTATAAAAAACATCCTGTGTTCAGATAATTGGGGGGGGGGAGAATGGAGGGAAGCGTCCCATGCAATTGTTTTGGCTCTGTTTCATCAGTGCTTCTTCAGCTGCAATGAATTCCTATGGGAATTGGATATGAGGCAGACTTCAGGGAGGCAGATTGGTGCACAGAACATGAGGACATGTTTTATAAGATAGACAGCTAGATAACTTTTTATCGTCATTTTTTGTACTGTGAGCACACTGGTCCACATTAAAAATGAAATTCTATTGCCTGCTCTCAAGAGAAAGTGTATACACTTTCAAACACATACATAACACACACATGCACATGAAAGAGGAAACTTGAGAGTTCACAAGGTTAGATGCTATATGGAATGAAAAACTGTGAATGAATCTAGATGTTCTGCTTCGGATACCACGAACACCATATGTTCAATTGGCAGAGTAGCAAAGTTTATTCTCTTGGTAATCAAAAGCGGACACCAGCCCAGAAATCATTTTAAGTTTCAACTAGGACAGGGGTCTCTAAACCTGGCAACTTTAAGACTTGTGGACTTCAATTTCCAGATTTCCTCAGGCCAGCCATGCTGGCTGAAAAAATACTGGGAGTTAAAAATTCATAAGTCTTAAAGTTGCCGGGTTTGGAGACCCATAAACTGGCAGATCTGGCTTAACTGTTGATTTCCTTGACTTCTTTTTCTGCTTTTCAATGCAGAAGTTGGGCACACCCAAGGACCTCTGGATGGAAGTCTCTACGCCAAAGTGAAAAAGAAAGACTCCCTTCACGGCAGCACTGGCACTGTCAACCCCAACCGGCTTGCCCTCTCTGCTGCCCCCAACCACGTTGAGCACACACTGTCGGTCAGCAGCGATTCAGGGAACTCAACTGCTTCCACCAAGACAGATAAGACTGATGAGCAGGCAGCACCTTCGGTTCCCAGCAGCAGTGGAGGAAACAACCCTATTTTGACCCCTGAAGAAAAGCGAGAGCTTGAGAGCTTGCTCAGTGGATTTGGTTTGGAAAACGAAGCCACCATGCACAACCACAGGCCCAGTGAGATAGCAGCAGCTGTTTCTGCTTCACCGGGACGCCATATCATACCAGCTCAGATTCATGTCAATGGGGAAGCTGCTGGCTTAGTGGCCGAGAGGGAAACTGACATTTTGGATGATGAGTTGCCCAACCAGGATGGACACAGTGTGGGTAGCTTAGGTACCCTCTCCTCTTTCGATGGCACTACCAACACCAGTGACATTGGCTATCATGAGGCTCCCCGGATGGAGAGCCTCAATTCTTTACCCAATGGTTCATCCAATTTCAATGGCTTAGACAAGCTGCATGATTCGGAGATGGTTATCAACGGTGGTTATCCCTACAACAACCAGAATGCCTTACGGAACATTATGGGACGTCACCCTCATGATCCTTATGCGCATATCAGGCCCTCAGTGTCTGCCCAAGAAAATCTGGCGGATTATCACCAGCATGGCTTCCCCACCCCTGGCTGGTTACAACCCCAGCCTCCAGCCTCCAGCCAGCCTTATCCATATGGCTGCGACTCAAATAGCATATACCGCTCCCAGTCCTTCCCCACAGCTACTGTTGAAATCTCCCAGCTTCCTCAAGCACCAGCGCGGAGCACAAGTAGTCGCGAAGCTGTCCAGAGGGGGCTTAACTCTTGGCAGCAACAAGGTGGAGGTAGCAGACCACCATCACATCAACAGGATGGTGCCCGAGACAGCCATAGTTCCAGTCTTGCTAGTGCAAGTCCCCAATCCAGCCCTTCACAAGCAGCACCCTCTCAAAGCATAAGCATCCCTGAATTCCCTAGAGTTGCCTCCCAGAAGGAAATAGAACAATCCATTGAAGCTCTCAATATGCTCATGCATGACCTGGATCCCTCTGTCTCCATGATGCCTAAATCCCAGAGTGTTCCATTGGCTACCAGAGAAGACAGGCCACACCCAGTAGCCCTTTCAATGTCTGCCCAACCTGTGATAGGACCTCATGTGGTGCAACCAAAGGCTACCAATGCGTTTGGCTTGATTCCAGGAAGCCCTTCACAAAACTCTCTTGGCTCCAGTGTGCCCCAGATGGCTGAACCAATACCCAAAGCTCATCCTATGAAACTATTGCTCAACAGTGTTGGAGAACCAGAGTATCCAACACAAGATTTCAGAGAGGCCTATTCTCCATATGGTTATCAGAACCAACAGCCAACTGTAATACAAGGAAAGAGCCTTGGGCAGATGGCAGGAAGCCCACCCACATCTCCCAGGCCTCATGCAACAGCATGCAAGGTCTTGGAAGGGCAGCATCCTCTGCTGACATCACCTCCCTCATCCACAACAGCAGTCCAACCCCAGATGCCCTTAAACGAGGCTGAGCATCAGGGGGAAGCCTCTCAGGCTTCAGGGGAAGAGCCGTTGCATCTTGAAGGTCTGGTGGCTCACAGAGTAGCAGGTAAGGAAGTCTCAGTGGGGTTTTTCCTTTGAATAAATCACCTGTTTTAGGGGCTTAAATATGGACTTTGTAAGTCATAGGAGGTGTGCTTTTTCAGGAACTTGATTTTGTTGAAATGGCTTCATGCACATTAAGAGGCATAAACTCAACTCTTCCCATACAATGCAGAATGAAAAGACCGCAGTGCAGATAATATGGGAAATGTTTCATTTTCACTCACAATAGCCTTTCTCTAAGTATGACCGGATTTTCAATAGCTGCTATTGACTATTTATTCAGTTCCTAAACAATGGCCTGGGTACGGTGCCTCACCCTGTGTCTGCATGCCATGCCCAAGGAGGTTGTGTTCTAGGAGGTTAAGGATTGAGAGGTTGGAAGGGCCAAATGGTGGCACAATAAATGAAATTTTAAGCATTGATGGAGCTAGAGGAAGGGCTGCCCTGGCAATTCGTGAAGAAAAATGCATAGCTAAAAAATTCCCCTAATTATGCATAGCAATGCATGAATCAGTAGGGGGGAAGAGTGAAAAGATCTCAAGTATTTCACATAGGTTATTGTCTTGGGCCAGGAATGGCTAGCATTTTTAGCAAGTGCGTCGTATGCCAATGCCAAGCTTTTGATAGGACCAGCATAGTTTGTACTGTAGCTCAGATAATCTGCCTCCTTTGCTGGCTAAACTGGAGGAATAGACATTACTGCTGCTTTATAAAGCCTTAGTAAGGCCACACCTGGAATACTGCATCCAGCTTTGGCCACCACATTACAAAAAAGGTGTTGAGACTTTGGAAAAAAGTGCAGAGAAGAGCAACTAAGATGATTAAAGGCCTGGAGACTAAAACATATGAAGAACAGTTGTAGAATATGGTTTCGGCTAGTCTAGAGAAAGGAAGGACTGGGTGGACATGATAGTAGTATTCCAATATTTGAGAGGCTGCCACAAAGAAGAGGAGGTCTGTTTATTTTTCAAAGCACCAGAGGGCAGAACAAGAAACAATGGTTAGAAACCAAGCAAAGAGAGAAGCAACCTTGAATTAAGAAGAAACTTCTTAACAGTGAGGACAATTAACCAGTGGAACAGCTTGCCATCAGAAGTTGTGGGTGCACCATCACTGGAGATTTCTAAGAAGAGACTGGACAGCCACTTGTCTGAAATAGTATAGGGTCTCCTGTTTCAGCAGGCAGCTGGACTGGAAGACCTCCAAGGTCCCTTCCAGCTCTACCCCGATTGATTGATTGATTGATAGCAGCTAGAATTGTCCCATGTGAACACTAGAGGATCCCTCACCACCACTTCAACCTAGGAGTAGTGTGAATCCCTACAGCCTAAATAGCATTACTATATGTTGGCGATCTGTAATCT